GACGATAGCTTATCTGACCTTGATGATAGATGTTGCTTTTAACAGCACCGTTTGAAGACGATGACAGGTCCTAACATCAGGACTTGTCATCAAGAACTCGTTATGCTCAAAATTATCTATCTTATTCCTTCAAATCAGCTTTATTCCAAATACCCGGCAGTCATCTTTCTTTGTTAGCACCGATTCGAAAAAAGCAGTTCCAAAATTTCTTTAAAATCGACTTTTTATAAAATGCGATTGCCTATTTGTAATGAATGCAAGTCGGGGGTAGAATGGGAGGCGAGGGGGAGGTAGCGCATTTTTTTTCTCGAAACTAGCAAAATTTCAGGAAATGGGCCGTTACGAAAATGAAAGACAGCGGCTTAAAGCGCGTGTTGCAGTTTTAGAAAAAGTCAAGAGAGAACGAGATGAATTGTTGGAACGGCTTAAATGCACATCGGTTTCGCCTGCTGGAAGTTTTTCGCCAAAAACTCCCCAAATTAGGTAACTGCAGAAGGCTTTCACTACATATTAATGTCACTATTCTGCAGTATTTACCAATGCCATAAATACTAGCGAATGCATGACGCTTTAAATTGTAAGGAATTTCAGTTCGTTAGCCGAAACAAAGCTGAAACATCCTCCCAGATGTAATCAGGAGACTGAGAACGATGGAGTAAGTCGTGTAAAGAGGTCGGCGCGAACGATGCACTTTCATTTATGGAATAATATTTTTAAAGTAGAATGTTGCAAGTTAGAAGGCACGAGTCCCTTTGCGAAAAACGGCATCATTTCTGACAAAAGTGATAAAATATCCTTGAAGTACTAGTCTGTCAAACTTGATGAAATATCTTTGCTAGAAGCTTTAAATCCCTCTAATGTACCAGTCTGTCATTTGAGCGCTTTATTGCTTTTCATAAGTTTCTCCACATTTACGCAAATGCGGAAACGTATTTTGACAAGAGGTTTCTGTGTATGTGTGTGTGTGTTCGTATTTTTGTCGCCCACTTTCAACTTGGTAACTGGCAGAGCTAGGAAGGTCAAATTTCTGAGCATGTTCTCACCGCATTTCGCTACTTTATGTCTAAAATAATCGTCCTCCTATGTTTAGATCTCCCGTACGAAATTTCTTAAAAAATTCGTGCAAATTTTTTGGCGGGAAAACGATTTGTATGAAGCTGAAACTTCACATGAATATTCTGTGAGCAAGGATTTTAAATTCAGTTTGAACAGGCGTATGCCAATTTTGCTGGTGCATCAATATTTCAATTTTTATGCGTTTTTGCCTATATGCAAATTGCAAAAACGCATATTGGGACGACCCTGTC